GTAATTAATGCAAAAGAAAACGATTGGAAATATATGCAGGTAGGTACCGTTAATAAGACGGAAACAAAATATTGCAATTACACAGGATAATGAAGACGCCGACGAAGACAACGATGAAATTGTCGAAAACCCCGAAGAAAATTGGCAAAAACAAATATTAGTAATGAGGACGATAAAGTTATGGATGAAGATATGGACTTAATTTCGAACGAGATTTCTAATGAAGATCGCGAATGTGATACTTTGAAAACGAGTTGTATAAGTTTGAAAGAATTTTCTAAAAAAGTGCATAGTGTATCGGAAAAATCACCGTACCTATATAATATTATATATTCAATTATTAAAAAATCATCGTACTGCTGGCTTTTAGATCAGTCCGACGGTAGAGATTAAAAAGATTTATAGGCAGTACAAGGAAAACACCAAAGAAAACACCTTGCAAAAATTCCAAGTCGCCCTTGACTATAAACAGAAGCTATGCATGGATCAAGCTAGTAGCACAAGCACTATATCCTCCTCCGACTCTATCGTGATGGAACTCGACTACTCCGATAATTTGGAGGAGTTTTCAGATGAAATCTTGTCGTATAAATCAGAAAATGTATCGAAATTTGCCGGACTCGAGATACACTTAGAAAACTATTATGCGGTTTTCTATGACCAATCGTGAGCTTTGCTGCACGAGCGAAGCGAATGTAGAACACACTATTTAGAAATCGCCGCCTTTCACCACGAAATATGTACACTATTTTTTATAACAAAATGAAAATTCGACTTTCGCTGCTCTTTAAGAGAGAAAAATTGTTAATATTTAAGTTAATTCATAAACAAAAATATACCAAACTAATTAATAATATTAATTATTAAAGAACTTATGTTAAGCGAAAGTCGAATTTATGCTGCTAGTGTCATGAAAAAGCATTGATTAATATAATACTTTTCTTAACGATTTTTAAAATGTGCTTAATAAAAAGTTTTGCTAACCAGAAAACGTATACTTTTCTTTACTATTTCTCTTAGTAAAGTAAGTATGCTATTTTTCATTAAGAATACGAACAAATATAGCCTTAAAAAATATACCCTTCAAAAAGAATTACTATAGTAATTACTATAATATTAATGGTAATTATTCATGTTAAAATGTATACCAAGAAAAAATAGAAACTAAAACCTTGAAAGTTAAAAAATAATAGGGATATTTAAAATTTAATATAAAATTAATTAAAACCTTTTAAACCTCACATTCCTAATACAGACATTATTTTATAAACATGCAAAATATCAATATTAAAAATTACATAGAAGAAAAATCACATGTTAAAAATTCATTTATATCTTATTAAAGCTAAATACCGTATTTCTAGGAGACGCAAGAAGGTCGCGAAATGTAATGACGCAATATTGTATTACGGATATATATATATATACATTATATATATATATATACATCCTTAGTACAATATTGCGTCATTACAATTTGGCAACACTGTAGGACGCAATAAAGTCTGTACAAGCCATATAATTTTTAAAATGAAATATACACGTGACGCAATATTATATCAAGATTAAAATGAGTTAATAATGTAGTGACTTTTGAAAAAAAAAGTGTATATCTTATTTTTTAAAATAAAAAAAATCTGACCAGATTTTTGGAATCAGCAAAAAAAAAGTACGCCAATATACTCTTCTATATTTTCGATAAATACCGTATTTCTAGTAGACGCAATAAGGTCGCGAATTGTAATGACGCAATATTGTATTAGGGATGTATATATATATATATATATATATATATCGCTGTGACTAGAGGCACGCTAACGTGCCGCGATTCGAAATGTTAAAGGCACGTTAGTTTAGTCATAATTATTTTACTTCATAATTTTAAGATTTTATGCTACGATAAAACTAAAACAAAACAACCAACCCAACCCAACCCAACACTTTTTAACAAAGTAACTACAAATTTATGGAAAAAAAAAGTTCGACAACTTTTAGTAGATTTTATGTTACGATAACACTAAAACAAATTTATTTCACATTTTTTACCTCCTTCCTACACCTTGCCAGGAAGGAACATTTTTATTACAAAATTACAACTTCTGTATAGATAGGGGAGAGGGGGGTACATTTGAACGGATTTAATTTTCCCGCTATTAACATAAGGGTATTGTTTGCTCTTTGGCTAAGAGGTGGCGTTGAATAGCTTGACACTTGTCAACTAAGAGTTTATTTGTAGTGTTTTATCTGACTGTGTCTTTAGGTTAGTTACATTTTTATACTAATTAGTAATTTTTTCTATACTTTTACTTAAGGATTTATATCAAAATCTACATTCTATTTTATTAAATCTGAATGTCTGGCAGTTAGAGTGAATACAGTAGAGGTATTTGCTATTTTGATCAAAATATTTTCCGATTTCAATCGGGGCACTTTTGAACAATGAAATGGGGGCATATTTTAACACTGTTCAAAGGTGCCCCATGTAAAACAATTCTAATTTTGAAAATTAAATATTTATTATTAGGTAGGTTTATTTTTAGGATTAAATCATGGTTCGGACTTACAAGAAAAAACGTACAAAGCCAGAAATTAATGAAAAGAAAGAAAACATGTCCATTAGAAATGCAGCGGCGGTTTATGGATTGACCCACACGGCTTTATTTTAAAAAGGATACTGGAGAAGAAAAGAAATTGTATTCATCAAAGTACACCGCACATCAAGTTTTTACATTCCAACAAGAGAAGATGTTAGAAGAATACATTTTAATAAGTTCAAAAATGAATTATGGGCTTACCTATCTAGAAATAAGAAAATTAGCATTTAGCTTTGCTAACCTGGTTAAACCCCCAAAAAATTGGGATACTGCTAAAATGGCTGGGGTGGACTGGCTTAAAAACTACATGAAAAGACATGATAACCTTTCACTTAGAAAACCAGAAAATACAAGTTTAGCGAGAGCAACAAGTTTCAACAAAACAAATGTTACCGAATTTCAAAATAACTACGAAAGAGCTCTGCAGACGTATTCATTTACTGCTAAGAAATTTTTTAACTTGGACGAAACAGGCATAACAGTCGTCCAAGTCCCAAATATAGTAGCTAGAAAAGGAACGAAACAAGTGGGACAGGCAGTATCGGCTGAACGAGGACAGTTAATCACAATGTGTGCCATAGTAAATGCATGTGGAAATACAGTACTACCCGTTTTTGAATTTCCTAGAGCTAGATTCCATGACCGAATGCTAATTGGTGCACCACCTGGCAGCCTAGTGCTTGCAAATAACCCAACCAGTGGATGGATGACGAGTCCTTTATTTATAAAAGTGCTTGAACATATACAAAAATATACCAAGTGCTTAAAAGATGACCCCATTCTTATTCTCATGGATAATCATGAGTCATTGCAGTGCAATGATTGCACACTGGAAGCTGTACTGTATGCTAGAGATCAGGGCATGACTTTGGTAACGTTTCCACCTCATTGCACCCACAGATTACAACCACTTGATGTTGCTGTTATGGGACCCTTTAAGTCAAAACTGGCTGTGGCTCAAAACGATTGGCTAACCAATAATCCAGGGAAGACCCTGACAATTCATGATTTAGCCGGTTTAGCCAACATTGCCTTTTCCACTTCATTCTCGATTGAAAATATATCTTCTGGATTTTCTAAGCCTGGAATATGGCCATTTTCAAGAAATACCTTTAGCAACGATGATTTTGATGCAGCATTTGGGCATAGGGCACTTCCTACCGAAAGCTCAGCTGACGTAGATGTTGCTGACGAACATGTCCAGTGTATGGAGTTAACTTCTTTAAATAAAGGTGATTCGTGTGAGTTTACCGTGGATGATTTCAATACGCCTACAACATCTCAAAATAATAATAATGTAATTTGTATTAAACCCGGGTTTTCTCTAGAGTCTTTAAATTATAATTTAGACAAGACACTGACTCAAGAAATGGTTCCCTAAAGCTGCATCTACATCTGAAAAAACTAATAGAAGAAAGAAGAAGTCTATAATTTTGACAGAAACGCCAGAGAAATATGCAATTGAAGCAGAGACAATATATAGATTAACAAAAAAAAGAAAAACTTTCCTAAATTGGAGAGAAGCAGAAAATCAAAATAGTTCTCCAAAAAACAAAAAAATAGCTAAAGAAAAAGTCATAAAAAAACAAAAAGTTATTAGGGATTCTGATAGTGAGAGCAACTATTCTGTTCAAGACTAGTCAGATAACCTAGAATCTGAAAACTCGTATGATGTGGCAGAAAGAAACCCTCAGATCCTGAGCAAGGGTGATTTTGCCTTGATTAAATTTCACACCAAGAAAACAGGTTCAAAGCTACCCCAAGTCTGTTCAAAAGTACCCCATATGAGGGGTAGATTTGCACAGTTACAAGTATAGTTTAAGTTGCTAAAATTATTTTTACTTGTTTAGTTATATTGTTTATGAAATTTTTTGTTACTTTTCTAATGGGTGTTCTATAACACTGTCCAAACTTCAATATAAGTTTACTTTTCAAGAAATTAGCGTTTGTTAAAAATCCGTTCAAATGTACCCCCATCTCCCCTATATAAGTAGGTATTTGGTGGATAAAATTTATTACAACATATATATTTTATAACCCTAATTTAAAATACTTTATTCATGCTTTCCACCCCTTTTGCAACCTGACCAGTTTTGTTAAACCTACTTTTTTGATATTAGATAAGCAACATATAAAATATATTTTAAACTAAACTAGTACAATGGCAGACACAGAATTTTGAATGACAATCATCACGTTGACATCAAACTTTAAACTTCCTTTATGGACAGTTAACCATACTTTCAGTCATCACTAGTCTTGTCATTTAGACAGTGAAAGTAAAAATGCTTAATATTCTATCTTTGTTCTTGACAGATTTATACATGGACATTATGACATTCAAAATTCCATGTCTGCCACAGAACCTATTGTGTGAACATATTTTTATAATTCTGGAAAAAAAGTTTAACCCCAGGCTTGAGTCTTACAATAATGTAAAACTAATTTTCCTTCTGTGCTATAGCAATCATAAAGATTTTTTACTAACTGATCTGGTGCAGGGGCAAATGTTTGATTCACATAAACAAACTAAAAAGTAAGTATTAATAAGTTACTTCGTTTTAAAATTAATATAGCTGTGGGTAAAAGGCATAAGGGGATAAGTCAAAAAGATCAATTTTTCAGTAGAGCCTTAAACTTATTCGCATTAATTCAGGAAATATATTTATGGTTAGCGGGTACCTATACCCTTTTGTTAGCACATGTCATATGCTAACAAAAGCTTATACCCGCTAAACATAAACATATTTCCTGAATTAATGCGAACACGTTAAAGGCTCTATTGAAAAATTGCTTTTTTTGACTTATCCCCTTATGCCTTTTACCCACAGATAGGTACTTACCAATTTCTCTTTGGACTCAATTTTTAGATACTTCTTTATAAATTCAATAATCCATCCTATGGGTTTGTCACTATCAACAGTCCATTTTTTCTTTTTCATTATTGGTGCATTTCCAGTGGGTTTTAATAAAATATCTACTATAATTAATTATATCATGCTTGTAAATAATTATACATAGTTAAATATTTAATTTACCTTTAGGTTTGTTCTTTTTATCAACTTCGCTTCTGCCACAATCTTCTACATTTAAAATTTGTAGGGAGTCTGTGGCTTCGAGGACATCTTTTTCTCCATTTTCATTACTCATATTACAACTTTAAAAAAGCAACATTCTTAAAATAATTTTTTAGCTGTTTATGTTAAATTTATCTTTTAATTTTACTTACCAAGGGAAAATATATTAAAGGCTTTATACAATTGGCAGTTTTTTTGCGAGAAGCAAAAAACATTTAAGGCGTGTTCCTTTTTTCAATAACAAATAAAGTAATCATGGAGTAAATGATTTTTACTAAAATCGTTAAATTGTATGTAGAAGAAGAAGAATAATAAGAAAAGCACAGAACACAGAAGAATCCAAATTGTATCATATAATACGTCCAGCAAACCACATTGCTAAAGATAGAATCCATAAAATTTAAAATACACATAAAATACATCTAACCTAAGGTTGTTTTAGGAAATTAGTAAATTATTATAGCCTACAATAATATTTTAATGTTTTACGATTACGATGGATTGCGAATGTTTATATGAACTCATTGTAGATAAGACACATAACCTAAAACAAAGCATTATAATTATATTATATTGTATATCGCTGTGACTAGAGGCACGCTCACAATCCATGGATTGTGGGCACGCTAACGTGCCGCGATTCGAAATGTTAAAGGCACGTAAGTACGTCATAATAATAAAGCCTTATTTATAGATTGTCTTCCTTCCTTTCTTCCTTTCTCCCGTAAAAGATGAACAATACAAAAACCGTAGTGCTGTTTATAAATTCCCCTACGGTTTTCGTATTGTTAATATTTTACGGGAGGAAGGAAGGAAGTCAATCTTTAAATCAGGCTTAATCTGTTTTTGTTCCCCGAGCGTTATTAATGTCAAGCTAGATAGCTCAGATGGTAGGGCGGTCGCTTAGCATGCGGGTTGCAGATATTTTATCCTTAACCAACGTCCCGAGTCCGCCCGCTTGCCGAGTCCCGCTGCAGCGCGCTGTCACACTGTAAATCGGTATTATTTTTTCGAGCGACAGGACTTTTACAATAAGCTCGGTAGCTCGATGGAAGGGCGCCTGCTTTGCATGCGAGAGATACGGGGTTCGATTCTTTTTTAATTTTTTTTAAAGAAATTATATACCGAAATAATACAATGTGGCCTTTTTTAATTTTTTTTTAAAGAAATTATATATCGAAATAATACAATGTGGCCTTAAAAGCATTTATATTTAATTTTACTTTAATATTTTAATTTATTTACCTTTCCTCATAATAATTTTGCAACAGTTAAAGAAATTATATACCGAAATAATACAATGTGGCCTTAAAAGCATTTATATTTAATTTTACATTAATATTTTAATTTATTTACCTTTCCTCATAATAATTTTGCAACAGTTATATAATATAAAATGTAATTAAATGAATATTCTTTCGTTGAAAAATTTGTACTCAATGGGGCGGGGGGGGCAATGGGGCGGGGTCGGTTGGGTTGGGTTGTTGGGTTTGGGTTGGTTTCGAAGCTTCGCAATTTTCTGTACCTAGACGTTAGTCACTGAGTTCGCAAGCTCGAGATGACTCGGTAAAGCAGCGGGACTCGGCAAGCGGGCGGACTCGGGACGTTGGTTAAGGAAAAAATATCTGCATGCGGGTTCGATACTCAGAAGTCGAGCTTTTTTTATTTTTTTATTTCATAAATTTGTTGTTTTAAAAAGTGTTGGGTTGGTTGGTTTGGTTGTTATCGTAACATAAAATCTACTAGAAGTTGTCGAACTTTTTTTATTTCATAAATTTGTTGTTCCTTTGTTAAAAAGTGTTGGGTTGGGTTGGTTGGTTTGTTTTAGTTTTATCGTAAGATAAAATCTTAAAATTATGACGTTGAATAATTATTAAAGGATATTTTGAATCGCGGTACGTTAGCGTGCCTCTAGTCACAGCGTTATATCAGCGTTGCCAACCCTACGCATTTCCCGTAGATCTACGGATTTTAAGGGTCATTAACGGATAACCGGATTTTGTATGAAAATCTACGGATATTTGGACATTATCGCATAATTCATAATTACTTGATATTTTAAGGCCGTATTACAGCCGGCAATTCTTCTTGCAGCAATTATTCTTGCCATCAAGTTTTCAAGGCCGTATTGCATGTTGTGTGCAGAGATATCTCTGGTTGTGTGGCAAGACAACTTGCTGTTTATTACCGTGCTACCAACCGAAGAAAAATATACGATTTTGTAAACACTAAGTTTATTTGTTATTTAGTAGAGATATTTAAAAATGAATGAGTAAAATGGATACTAGAACTTGGAACAAAATGCCAATCATAAAAAAAACAGCGTCTCTCTAGGGAATTTGTAGTAGGGTTGGTAACATAAAAGTTACCAGATTTCACCCCAGAATTGCCGTAAAACACTTTTGGACTTGGACTGTTCTGTTCAATTATTCTTTTCTTATGATAGGTATAATATATATCATATGCTTAAATTCTTCAGAATAATATTAAAACTTAATATATATAATATTTTTTGTCACTAAATATGAGGCGCCGTTTGTCCGTAAATTATTTTTGCTATATATAAGAATGTTTTTATATATAAACTTTAAATTTCCTATATAAACTTTTTAGTTCAGATAATGCCGCTTGAGAATGAGGGCGCTTTGTGGTAAGCACTGTTGCCAGAGTGTGCCAATGCAAAGTTTTGGTCAGTGTTTCCAACATAACTTTTCGCCAGATCTGGCAGATTTTACTAAAGGTCGAGGGAAAAAAATATACTCTTACGGCTGACGGAACATCGAATGGTATTTGTCATAAGATTTGTACCTATATAATTTAATTTGTAGGAGTGCAAGTTTAAAAAAAAATTCTTTGTTTTTTTATAAATTGACACGAGAAGCAAATTTAGTTTTTTTAAACAAAGTGACTAGAAGTACACCGGGAGTACCGCCATTAAACATACACCGGGTGGAAAAAATCCTTATTTAGCATATTTGTCAATTGACCATATGCAAGGAATGCGGTCGATGTTGCCAATGGTAAAAAAAATAAAATTCCCTATTGGGAACATTCAATTATATTACATTGGCTACATTGAAAATTTGAATTTCCCGCACAAACTAAATTAATTTCCATCTTTTTAATAATAATAAATAATAATAATTCCCACATTTGAAATTCGCACCTTAATTTATTATACAACATTGGAACTACCTTCTTTATCTCTGGGAACTACTAGAATGTATGTCAGTTTGTGCGGGAAATTCAAAATTTCAGTGTATCCAACGTAATATAATTGAATGTTCCCAATAATACATTCAATTATATTACGTTGGCTACATTGAAAATTTGAATTTCCCGCACGAACTAAATTAATTTCCATCTTTTTTTTTATAATAATAAATAATAATAAATAATAATAAATAATAATAAATAATAATAAATAATAATAAATAATAATAAATAATAATAAATAATAATAAATAATAATAAATCCCACATTTGAAATTCGCACCTTAATTTATTATACAACATTGGAACTACCTTCTTTATCTCTGGGAACTCCTAGAATGTATGTTAGTTTGTGCGGGAAATTCAAAATTTCAGTGTAGCCAACGTAATATAATTGAATGTTCCCAATAGGGCTACGTTGGCTACACTGAAATTTTGAATTATCCGCACGAATAGATACACTTAAATAAAACCCCGCCCACTGTGGTAGGGATTGAATTTGTATCATTGTCGTATGATCTGTGCGCAGTGTTGCCAGCGTCAGTACGTTGTACCGAATTCAGTACCTTCGAATTAAAAAAAGTAAGCAAGTACCTCGTTGATGGTTTTCGGTACGTTTTCCAGTTTTAGATTTTTTTTCCTTTATTTAAATAAAAATTAAAGAAAAAATTAAAAGTTTAGGTTGGTGATACTGAGTTATTTTAGTATCCTGGTATTTTAAGTTTTAAACTGTTGGTAGCGCGCGTTGTCTACTTAGTGTTGACATAAGGTTTGTTCCAAGTTCGCCAAGAACCGCTCATAGGAATAATAGGAATTATTGAAGCCAAATACCTCAATCTTTGTTAAAAAAGAAAATTAATTATCGATAGGTAGACTATTTTTTAATTTTACCAACAATATTGTTTTTTTGTATAGGTATAATAATAATTATCTATTTTGTTCTTTTGATGTTTATAGTTTATTTATGTGCATGTGCTTATTGATAAAGTACAAAATAAAATTACGTTCATATAAGTTTAATATTTATTTCTCAAAGTCAGTACGTTATCTTTCAAATTCAATAGGTTTTTATTGCCATTTCAGTACTTTAATTTTTCTACTACTGGCAACACTGTCTGTGCGTCAGTTTCACAAAACTAGTTTTGTGGTCAGTTTAAGAAGTGCACTGAGACTTTGCGTACGTCTTTGTAAGAATAAAAAAGTATTTTCTCAAATAAAATGGTTTTTACCCGTGAGGAAAAATACCAAATTATGGTATGGCATCACACTGGTAGATCGTATCGCCAAATACAAACTTTATTTCAAAATATGTTTCAAAATAGGCCTTTACCCAGTGTAGCTACAATCCGCGGCATGCCGCGCTGTTGCCATATGCTATTATTGTTTCCTAAACGGGTTGTTTTTCTTATTTTTTAATATTAAAAGTAAGAAAATTAACTAAATCAAAATATTTTTGACATATTAATAATTGTTTTGTTATTTTTAAAGTTTCAAACAAATAAAATTGAACTATTTATTAAATAATTATAATCGTACTCTTCTGATTTAAAACAACCTGGCAACTATGGTTCGTAATTACGAATGGCTTGGTTTAAACCACGCCCAATTAAAGTTTGTTTCTTTTCCTCTGATCAGAATATAATTTGTCATCCTTGTCTCCAGCCTTACTTACTTGATTCTATACAGTCTGTATAACCACTTACCTGATACTGTAAAAACTTTAAATTGTGAAAAATTTCATAATGTTGTAAAAGAAATTCTAATAAGTCTATGTTTGTATAGTGTACAAGATTTTTTAAATTTTAATTTTAAATGTAAGTTTCAAATGTAATTAATCTCTTAAATTTTAATGTTTTTATT